TGAAATGCTTAATAAAGTTAAGTTGTATTATTAATATCATATTCAACCTAGTAAGATAATTAACTTACTCGAAAATGAATATTCTGATCACTCTATTAAACTACAAAATATCTATAATGTAATAAGCCAATTAAGAGGTACACATAAAAGGCTTAAAAATAATGCTGCTGATTTACTAAGTTATCTTTTACAACAAAAAAAAATGGACCCTAGTTGTGTAGTTAAACCTGTAATTAGAGACATGGATAGTAAACTTAAAGGGATTTTTTGGCAGTCAGATGAACAAGTATAGTTATTAACAAGGTTTGGTGATGTTTGTTTATTGGATACAACTTACAAGACTAATCTATATTGCTGATCATTAGTTCTGGTGATTATAGTTGATAATAACACTAGAAGTAAATTGATTGCTCAGACACTATTGTCAGATGAATCTATGGACTCTTTTAATTGGCTCTTTATATATTTCAAAAAAAGAAATCCAGAATATAAGCCTGATGTTATTTTTTCAGATTTTGATCTTGCAATAATTGTAGTAATTGCTAAGACATTTACAACAACTTATTACCACCTTTGTGTATTTCATATTAATAATAATGTAAAAAAAAAAGCATGGTCAAAACTTGGTAAACAATATAATCAGTTTATGAATAACTTTTATGCTGCACAAAATTCATTACAAGAAGCTGTATTTGAATACCAATATAAACATTTAATTAAAACTTACCCAGCTATAGAAAGTTATTTACATAAACTTTACCAATCAAAGCAAAGTTGGGCCTATTGTTTTATAATACAAGTTTTTAATGCTGGAATTCAGAGTATGCAATGTGTAAAATGCTACAATAACCTTATTAAGTCTAGTGTTAACCAAATATCATCTTTGATTAAATTAAATAATGCAATTCAGAAGTGTCTTAATTTGGAAAATAAGTATAGTCATTCTCAAGAGTCTATAAACTTTGATCATAATGGCAACTTATAATCAATAAGTAGAATATTATTTCTTAAAATTATTGTAATATGTGAAAAATACCTTATTTCTTATATAATTGCTGAAATAAAGCAACAAATTCAACAAGCATTTTGGTATAAGTATTATTCATATAATATTTTACAAGAACATTATGACAATGAATCTGAACTTACTGATAAATGTATTTAAGACAATTATGACTCACAACAAATACATATTAACTCTATGCTAAACAATGTGTTAGATAATAAAATTTAAGAAGCTTGGCATGTAGTTAGACTTACAGGTTCTGTAAATATATATTATATTATTATATTTAAAGATAATTCATTTTTATGTACATGTACTTGGCCAGTTAGTCATGAAATTGTATGTTGGCATTACTTTTCTGTTCTTTTAAAATCAAATATAGTTATTTTCTATATCTTATTTATAATGCAATGATGGTATAAAGATGCATATTTTAATAAACCAGAAGACACTTTTAATAATATTTTACCAATTCGACTACATAATAATAATCCTAATAGACTTATTACACCAATTCAATCTAATCAAAATATATTATTCAACCAATTTGATCAACTTACCTCTATATGTAAGGCTTTAGGATCTAAAAAATCCAATAAAAAATTTCTACAAGATCGAATATATTATGGTAAAAGTTATAGATTGTTGCAAACTATTCTAATATTAGCAATAGAGACAAAAACTAATGAAGAAGTAAATAATTAGTGTCATCAATTTATTCAGCAAAAGAAAGAGCTTCTAAAAGCTAATACTGCATCAAGTCAAGATTAAGAAAATATTATTCAAGTAAATAATCCAAAAGTCATGCTAGTTAAAAGCCAACCAAGTAGAAGACAGAAGAGTGTACTTGAATGAGAAGCTAAAAAATCATTAAGTACTAATTACGAAAATGTCAATTAATATACTTGCTTAAATTGTCATGTTAAAGGACACAATATTCATTCATGTAATTTGCCAAGACATAGTTAAAGGTTTGGGTTAAATATAGTTAAAGGTTTGGGTTAAATTAGTTGACAATATATTATTACTTAATGTAGT